TGATGGCTGTTTGCAGCTGGTCACACCCCCTTCAGGGTGGGGGTCCCCACTGAAGTGCCTGGGTGCCTGGCCAGTCTGGGTGAAGGGGCTGAGGGCCGTTTTCAGGCTGGCGGATGACTGAAGCTCCCAACCGCTCCTTTTTTTCTTTTTTTTTATTCTGGGATTTATTTACCTTCTATGGCTGTCACTGGAGCTGAGAGCCGGCTTTAGCTCTGAGGTTCGGCTCCAGCTCTGAGACCTTGGCTGCTGAAAGCAGGTATCTGGGTTTGTTTGGCTTCTATAATTGAAACACTGTTGCAGCTTCAGCTCTGACAGCTGAAAGCAGGTTTCTGGGGTTTGTTTAGCTTCTATAATTGCAACATTGTTTCTTAGAGTGCAAGCTCAGAGCCGAGCAGCGGCAGGCAAGGAACCTTGGCTTCCTACTTCACTGGAGCAAGCAAGCCTCCTGTTCGCTTCAGCTGCCTGGCTGCCAGCCGCCATCTTGGTTGGCAGTTAATTTGCATATCGCCCTGATTAGCCAATGGGAAGTGTGTCGGAGGTACGGTTAATTACCATGTTTGTCTATTATTAGATAGGATAGATGGTACTCTTCCCTGTACTGCTGAAGTCAGAGAAAGCCAGCTAAAACAATGTATAAATAAAATCTAGAATCTCATAATACCCAAAATGTCCAGATTTTAATAAAAAATCATTTGTAATACCAAAAATCAGGATGACCCCAACTTAAATGAGAAAAGACAATTACCAGATGCTAATCCCAAGATGAGAACATTAAAATAATCTAACAATGATTTTAAAGCAGCAATCACAAAGTGATTGTAAGTATCTTTCTAATTATTTGCTTTAACAATTAATTAGGAAGATACTTAAAATAAATGAATAAATTGGAAGTCTCACAAAGAAATGGAAGCTATAAGGAATAACCAAATAGAAATTTAGAACTGAAAAATGAAATAAACAAAATAAAACTCAATGGATGGGCTAAATACCAGAATGGAAGAGGCAGAGGAAAGAATCAGTGAAGATGGAACATAGCAATTACCCAATCTGAACAACAGAAAGAAAAGTCACTAGAAACAAAGAACAGCATCAACAAAATACACAGCTTCAGCCTTCCAATATTTGTAGCATTGGAGTCCCAGAAGGAGAGGAAAAAGAGGAAAAAGGACTTCAAAAGGACTATCATCCTATCTAATAAAAGAGAAACATGGTAATTAGCGTACGACTGCTACCCTTCCCATTGGCTAATCAGGGCGATATGCAAATTAACTGCCAGCCAAGATGGCGGCCGGCAGCCAGGCAACTGGAAGCGAACATGAGGCTTGCTTGCTTCAGTGAAGGAGGACTCCAACGTTCGCCGCCTGCCTTGCCGGCCTCTGAGCTTGCAGTTTGAAACATTGTAACAAATATAGAAGCTAAACAAACCCCCAGAAACCAGCTTTCAGCCGGCCGGGATCTCAGAGCTGGAGATGATACAGTGTTTCGATTATAGAACCCAAACAAACCAGATACCTGCTTTCAGCAGCAGAGGCCTTGGCCCAGAATAAAAAAAAAAAAGAAAAAAAGGAATGGTTGGGAAGTGGGGCTGAGGGACACTACCCCCCCGCCAGTGCACAAATTTTTGTGCACTGGGCCTCTAGTATATATATAAAAGCCAAGAGATCAGAACGATGGAACAACTAAAACGACCAGAATGACTTGTTGCTATGATGTGCACTGAAGCGGCCGACTGGCCTGATTGGCCCTGCAGCCTCTCCCCGCCGGCTGGCCCCACCCCTGATCAGCCCCCACACCCCAATCGGGAACAGGGTCAGCCAGCCAACTGTCCATGGCCCACCCCACAGCCAGCCACAACCCGTTACCCTGGGTTGCTTGGAACCCCTCACCCCGATCGGGAGCAGGGCTGGCTGGCCAACCACCCGCAGCCCACCCCCTGGCTGGCCCACAAACTGCGGCCCCTCCCCCCCAGCTGGCCCGGCTCCAGATAG